TTATTTCACAAATTTTAACAAACAAAAAATTAAATTGTGAATAAATTTATGTTTAGAAAAACTAGAAATTGAATTACAAAAAATTTAGAAGTATGTATATACTCCAAAATCAAGTTATTTATTAAATATAGTATACCATGCCATATTACAAATTATTTAAGTATGTAAATATTATTTAAATATGCTTAAAGTGTCCTTAAATCAACCTAGTGACAAATTCTAAAACATCCTAATTTGAAAGAAACTAACATAACATTGATCTATTTGTGCTAAACTAGTCATAATCAAAGTTGAATTGGTCAAAGTCAACTTCATTCAACAAAAAATGACCGATTGAGTAGGGAGATAACTAATAGATCGAACCTCAAACTACCAGAGTATGAGAGAACTGATCAATGTAACATCTAAATCGATTAGTGGCATTGGACACACAGTTTGGACTGACGTGTGCATTCGATCAAATGTTATGAGCTGAACAATTGAACGTGCAAGTATTGCTAGAGTATCATTTTTTTTTAAAATCTTTACAAAGGCATTTGAATCTTCCATTTTTTTTAGAAAATTTAAATGGTAATAATTTAAAAGGAATAGGTTCTTAAGAAATAAATTTAAATGGAAGAATTATGTTATGCAATCCTAAAATTAATTTGGTATTAAAATAAATTAGACACATGCATGAATCAACCATATGAATAATGTTGAATTGTTTGGAACTCATGTGGGCCATAATCCCATGGTGTGTGCCTCATCATCATGGCATAAAAAAAACTCCTCAAATTCCCATGTTTCCATCATCATTCTATGTACACAATTTTATTTTATTTTAGTTCTTTCTTTTTTATTTTGTTTTTATTTCAAATTCTTTGATAATGCATGCCAAAAAATGCCAACAAATTTGTTACTATCCCTTGGTGTGGACCTAATGGGTTTGATGGTAAATTTACTTGAAAATGTATTTTCAAGTAAAAGACATTATCTGTTATAATATTTTAGTCAGTTACTTTGGAATTTGCTTCATTTTAATCTTTTTATGAGGATGGAACGTGTATACTTATTTAAAAAACTAAATAAATAAAATATTTATTCATTTTGTATTTTATCTTAAAAAAAAATTCCAAAATTTTCAAGGTTATATAATATCTATAAACATTTTTTAAAAAGTTGAAACTATCTTTATTATCCTATCTTTATTGTTGGTACTAATGAAACCGACATCTCATATATTATCTCTAAATTTTTTTTAATGTTATTTTTGAAAGTTCATGTAATACTAATTAAGAATATTTTTTTTTTAGTTCTTTTTTAAAATTTAAATGTGTTTTTTATTATTATTTTTTAAATGAAAATTTTGAAAATGTAAAGTGTTGAAAGTTAAAAGGATATTTTTGAAACCCTTTTAAAAGTTTAGATGTATTTTTGAAACAAAATATTAACCGTTTGCATAAAAAAAATTAACGGGTATTTTTTAACCCTTTTGTTTAGGTTAAAGGTATTTGTTAGATTTTTTTTAAGTTTAAGGATATTATTAAAACTTTTGAAAGTTTTAAAGTATTTTTAAGATAAAATGAAAGGTTGGAGAATGAAAAATATTTTAATTATTTATTTATATCGAAAAATAAATAAAGAAATATGATTGAGATGGTTCAACTATTTTATTTAATTTTAATTTTTTTTTGGGTGTTATATTAAAAGAAGTTAAAATGGATGGGATTCAATGTTTATATTTTGTGAACTTTCATCTCAAATAATACAACAAATCTTAACATAAAATTTCTCCTTCCTCCTTTTTCTATCTTGCTCAATGAAATTTCTTTATCCTTGTTCATAATTCATCCTCTTTTAGTGAACTATCTAAATTGAGAGAGTCTATAGTTCACCCATGACCTAACTTACCGTAGTGAACTATCTAAATTGAGAGAGTCTATACTTTATCTTAATAGTTGATATTATCAAGTTACTATGGAGGGACTATTAGACGGTCGCTAACTAACATTTAATATTGAAATATCTAGATTGGCAAGGTCCACAAATGTATCTTAGTAGTTGGTTGAGACATGAAGTTGCTCCTCCATGTATATACATCAATACTGTGTTGGAACTATTAAAAGATCGTCAACTAGCCTCTATTAGTGAACTATCTAAATTGATAGGAGTCCATGTTACATTTTCAGTAGTTATCTAATTGTAGAGCATGTTGGCCATTACATGCCTAAATTGATTAAAACAAAAACATGTGTGATATTGCTACTTTTTCTTTTGTAGATGTTTGAACTTACATAGTTCATGACGTGGGTATTTCATAGCATCGAGGCTATATGATAGAAATATATTAGTTATTTTGTCAACGATTTGCTATTTACTTGCATTTTTTTTTATGAGAATAGTTTTGTGAATATTTTAGTGTACAAGTTACCAAAAGGGTAGTTTTCAATTATTTAAGCAGTTTTCACAAGTGTAGCAATGTCTTTATTCTTCATTATTTAATAGCAACTTCTGATGAGTCACTATCATTAGTATCTGAATTTTACTTCTTCTGAAGTGATTCCTTATCATTAGGACTAAGTGTTCTTATATTTTCTTTAGCCTGCAATCCTATATAGTTTAGATTACATATTTAGAATTATTGGAGCTTGACATGATTGATATTCCTAGTGAAGTAATTCGAATCTCAATCAAATGTTCTTACCTTAGAGATATTTTATCAACAAATAATCTGAATCTTTCCTCATTTACAGTAATTCCTTGTCATTTGGCATCATAGTTTTCTTTTAATAATACAAATAAGAAGAAGAATAAGGAAGCAAAGTTAGGTTGAAATGAAGGGATAATATTAGTTTATAATTTGAAAATTATATTATAATTCAAAAACTAAAAGATTTATTTTTTTCCTTCAAAATATCTTATTCTATCTTGCTCAATGAAATTTCTTTATCCTTGTTCATAATTCATCCTCTTTTAGTCCAAGAAATAAAAAGGTTTTGGAAGGAAAAAAGAAAAAAAAAAAAAAAAAACAAGGGAAAAGGGACACCCCTGCTTCCAACTTTAATAAACATATTGCAGCCTTTCAGTTTAATTGTTCCCTTCCAAACAAGTTGTAGCTTTTAATTAACACATTCAATTAAAAAAGAATAATTTTCTCAGACTTATTCACTTAAATTTGAGAAATTTTAAAATTAACATGGTTTTTTATTTTTGTTTTTGGTCAATAGAAGAATTTATATAAAAAAACCACTTTAATTCTGAGATTCTAGAAGAGAAATTGATCCATTTGAATGGACTTTGATCAAATCAAATAAGCTTCTGCTTTTTTTTTAAATTAAAAATAATATTAATAAACAAAATTGGATGTCTAATCAACTAGGATTAGGAGCGTATATTAAGTCAAAAGTGAAGCTATAGTGACACATAAGTTTGGAGAAATGAAAAAATATTGTAGAAATTAACTATATATATAGATTAAAAGGTTCAGCTTTCATTTAATCAATAAACAATTTCATTTTTTATCGATAAAAATTAAAACCCTAATTTATTGACATATAGAATTTAGGGTCTTTTGTTTCAAATCAATAGAAGACATCCTTAATTTACCTATGTAACAATCCAAGTCCACTACTAACGACTTTTTTAGGCTTTTTTTTTTTTTTTCGTATTCTTCTCAATGTTTTAAAACTTTGACTAGGAAATTTATGTTCCAATTTCATAATTCACTCGTTTCGAGTCCCAACGTTCTTATTAGCATTCGTTCTCCCTCTTACTAAGATTCTTTTAACTTGTAAAACTATAAAAGTAAAATTGAAAAAAATTTATAATTTAATTAAAATTGAAATTTTAACAAAACCATGAAATTAATAAGTTAAATTAAAAAAAAAACATTAAAAAAAGGGAAAAAAAGAGAGGGAAGAGGGGAAGAATGTGTGGCAAGGGGTGGCGCAGCCTTGAACCTACTCCGTACCTTTTTAACCGGTTTAGCAGAACGCTGCAAAGATTGGTCGGTTCTATTGTTTACAAACCACCCCCTTTTTTTTATTTCTTTTTTCTTTTGGCACCACCTAATTATATATATATATATATCCTTTTTCTTAATATATTTTATTTTTCATTTTTTTTACAAAATCTTGAATACATTATTTTTATACTGCAAAACAAAAGATAATTATTATCATATTCGAGTTTCTTAATCATAATTTTACACAAAAATATTTTAGTAATTCAACAATTCCATTGTTAAAGAGACCTTGATTGAGAAGAAAAAAAAATCCTACAAAATGGAATATTTTCGTACCATATAAAAGTATAAATTAGGGGGAAAAAGCTATTAATGTATTTAATTTTAAATATGAAGAAAAAAAAAAAAAAAAAAAGAAATCGGCATAATGAAGTGAGCGTCGGGCATCCTTGACGTGGGCCCACACGTTACCTTGACAATGGCCCACCAACTCATGGGTATGGTTTGTGGGCCACCCATTGTGCCCAAAGTTTTTATTTTTTTGTTAATATTAATTATTTTTAAAAAAAAAAATTAGAAAGAAGAGGCTGTGGAGCCGTTATCATTAACCTCACACACATTTACTTTTAGAGAAAATAATAAAATAATATTAATAATAATGTTGAAATTAAATTTTATAATTTTTTAAATCCAAAGGCATCTTTAGTGACGAAATACTTGGCTCCTCTTTTATTTAGATTTATTATAAATAAAATTTTTAATGAAGTTTAGAATGAAAAAATAACAATTTTCGTCATTTTCATTAAATTTGTACTTAATTATAATTAATATTATAAAGTGGTGTGCCTTCGATCATATCTACTAAATAATTAATAAAATAAGTCAAATAAATTTAAAATATGAATTACTTCATCTTGGCAATCTCTTTTTATATAATTAATATTAGTAAATAAATAAATAAATAAATAAATAATTCCATTTTTTGAGCTTGTTGAAAATTGGGAACACAGTGAGGTCTGAAGTCATATTTGGCTGTCATTCTACTTTTTGTTTAGTCTAAATAAAAAACAACTTCCCTTACTTCTTCCTTCCCTCTTCATCTTCTTCTGCTTGTCTCTCTCTCCTCTCCGTTTTCCACCATTTTTCTGCAATAAACATCAAATTTTGCCCAAATCCTCCATTTTTGGCTCCTCTGTACATACCCACCAAACAACAAACACAAAACTCCACCATCATCCATGGCTGCCAACAGATTCGCCACCCTCTTACACAGAAACTCCAACAAGATCACCCTTATTTTAGTCTACGCCCTTCTCGAATGGGTTCTCATCTTTCTTCTTCTTCTTCAAGCTCTTTTTTCTTACCTGATTATTAAGTTTGCTGAGTTATTTGGTTTGAAGCGCCCCTGTTTGTGGTGTTCTAGAGTCGACCATGTGTTCGAGCCTGGGAAGAAGTTTTCTTACAGAGATCTTCTCTGTGAACCTCATGCTATGGAGATTTCTAATCTGGGTTACTGTTCGAATCACCGGAAACTTACTGAGGTTCGGGATTTGTGCGAGGATTGCTTCTCCTCTTCTAATCCCAACGAGTTCTATCAGATTCCTAAGAACTTTGCCTTTTTTGGTGATGAGAAGGAGGATTTTAGGTGCTGTTCTTGCTGTGGGGAGAGCTTGAAGAATCGATTGTTTTCCCCTTGTATTTTGATTAAGCCCAATTGGGGGGATTTGGATTATGCCCACAAGGGGAATTTGATTTCTGAAGCGGACATTGATGTTCAATCTGATGAAATCCATGCTTCCCCCACGGAAGATATCATCGGAAATAGGGAAATCTCCATTGTTTCCGGTGGGGAAGAGGCTGAGAAGAACTCCGGTTGCTCTGTTTGTGGTTGTTGCTGTAAAGATTCGGCGGTTCATGAGGAGGAGAAGGAGGAGGAGGATAAAGCTAAAATGGGTGGTGAAAAGGACGGAGATTTTCTTGAACTGGCTGAAGATCTGAGCTCTCTTAATCACAAAACTGTTCAACTCGGTTGTGAGAGAGAGAATGAATCGGCTGAGACTGCCCCTCATCATCTTGAGTTTTATATTGACCGGGGCAATGATCGGCGGTTGATTCCAGTTGATTTGATCGATTTTTCAGCCTCCGACCACAACAACAACGAAAGCAATATCCTAAGCTCAGTGAAAGATGAGGAACAAGAACAAGAACCAGAACCAGAACAAGATCATGAACAAGCTCAAGAACAAGAACAAGAACAAGATCAAGAACAAGAACAAGAACAAGAGGATTGTAGGAATGAAGATGTTGTTCTGGATTTTGGTTCCAACTTTGAGAAGCAGGGACAAGATGTGACAGAAGATTGGGAAGTTATTTCAGGAGAGAGATTGGCAGAGTTTCTCTCTGCTTCTCTCCATGAGAGCAAGCAGGCAGTTGCAGAGGTGGAAGCCATGGAGGTGGAGGAGAGTAGCACAAGGGCCTCTGGCTTGGGCTCAGATGAAGATCCATCAATGGAAGTAGAAGAACAAGAACAAGAACAAGAGCAAGAACAAGAACAAGAGCAAGAACAAGAACAGGAGCAAGAGCAAGAAGAGCAAGAAAAAGAAGAAGCTGAAGCTTCCATTGGTGGAGCAATTCAAGCTCCAGCCATTGATGCTCACAAAGAAGACCTTCCAGAATTAGTGGTGGCAACAATAGAGCAAGATTCAGATCTTCATCAAGGTACTATTCTAGACAAGACACTACATTTCAGCATATGATGTTCTGTTCTTTTGAAGATCAAATGTGAAAATACCTGAGAAATTTTGTGCTTATTTAACACTTGATCTCTTTCAATAAATTAGATATTCATGAGCGGAATGATGAACATGAAGTAGAGATTTCAATCGGGACGGATATTCCTGATCACGAACCGATCGATGAGATTCAAACTCAAAACAACATTCCTTCACATCCCAATGTTCAAGAAGATCCTTCCCCAACTTCAACATTGGTAGTTGATGACAATATGCAAGGTAGCTACCATTCTTTCCTTTGCTTTCCCACATCCATATAAGGAGTTTAGCTTAATCCGATCATTTGTGTTTTGCTGCATTCCTCATTTAGATTATAACAAAGCTGAGAAATCCGAGGAAGCCGAGGAAGTGGAGGAAGCTGAGGACGCTAAGGAAGAGGTAGAGTTCAAGATATTGTCCGTGGAAACGAGTTCTCAACCGTCAGACGATCACAAACCGTCGAGGTCTGAGCTCAATGAGAATGGGGAAGAAGATAAAGTTCCTGATACACCAACTTCAATGGATAGTCTCCACCAGCTACACAAGAAGCTGCTATTACTAGACAGAAAAGAATCTGGAGCCGAAGAGTCGTTGGATGGGAGCGTGATTAGCGAGACTGAAAGCGGGGATGGAGTATTGACGATTGAGAAATTGAAGTCGGCGTTGAGAACCGAAAGGAAGGTTTTGAATGCCTTGTATTCAGAGCTAGAAGAAGAGAGAAGTGCTTCTGCCATAGCAGCCAACCAGACCATGGCAATGATAAATAGGCTTCAAGAGGAGAAAGCAAGCATGCAAATGGAAGCTTTGCAGTACCAAAGAATGATGGAAGAACAATCTGAATATGACCAGGAAGCTTTACAGCTTTTGAACGAGCTCGTGGTGAAGAGAGAAAAGGAAAAGCAAGAGCTCGAGAAAGGAATTGAAGTTTACCGAAAAAAACTTCAAGATTATGAAGCCAAAGAGAAAATGGCATTGTTAAGGAACAGGAAAGAAGGGAGCATCCAAAGTAGAAATTCCTCGGTTTCTTGTAGCAATGCCGATGATAGCGATGGGCTATCGATTGATTTGAACACCGAGGCAAAGAAAGATGAAGATTTGTTTTGTACCCAAGAAACAAATAATCAAAACACCCCAGCTGAGGCAGTTCTTTATTTGGAAGAAACATTAGCAAACTTTGAGGAAGAAAGACTGTCCATTCTAGAGGAGCTGAAGATGTTGGAAGAGAAGCTCTTCACCTTGAGTGATGAAGAACAACAATTTGATGACATTGAGCATTATAGTGAACATAATGGCAATGGCTACCATAAGAACTCGGATTCTGTTTCAGAAACAAATGGATTCGAAAACGGTCATCATGTCAAGGAAATGAATGGAAACCATCATCCAGGGAAGAGAACGATGAGCACGAAAGCCAAAAGACTTCTTCCTCTTTTCGACGATGCAGTCGATACAGACGTTGAAGATGTAACCATAGGAAAAGAACAAGGGTTCGACTCTGTTTCGATGCAGAAGTCCTTAGACAACAAATTCGACACGGAATTCAGGAGGGTTGCTGTTGAGGAAGAAGTGGATCATGTGTATGAGAGATTACAAGCACTTGAAGCAGATAGGGAGTTTCTAAAGCATTGCATTGGCTCCCTAAGAAAAGGAGACAAAGGCTTAGAGCTTCTCCAAGAAATCTTACAGCATCTCCGAGATCTAAGGAGCGTCGATATCCAGTTGAAAAACATGGGAGACGGTGTCGTAGCATGATCGCGATCACATCCCCCAAACAAAATCCAAAACAGGTAAAAGCCTTCTGCATCATCCTTTGTTTATTTCATTTTAAACTCTGAAGATGCATCGTTATTCTCTATTGGAAAACAAACTGAGAACTTGGTCGTTTGGAATTTGAACTGATGCAACAATCAATGATACAGAAACCCGAAACCCGTCAACCCCGCCGTGTCATCGTCATCGTCACCGTCGTCGACAGAATCAGAAAGGCTCCATATGGTGGAGCCTCCTGATATAAAAACAAAAGTCCCCCCTCCCCCCTTCAAAGTTGGCCCAAATTTTTTGTGGGTTGTGTTCATGATGATCATCACCTTATGAGGGAAGGTGAATGAAGGTGTAGGTAGTCAGTCAGTCGGTCAATGTACCATTTGTTTCATGTTTTTGCGAGGAAAGAGGCTGGCTTGCAAAGCTGGAGACACCACAGGCAAAGACTCCAGTGCCAGCAACATATAGCGTAGAGTATCATTTAGGCAGTTCTAGATTTAAGCACAATCTTTTCTTCTTTTATTTTTTGCTGGGAAAGGGGAAGAAATTGGGTAAATAACCCTTCTTTTTTCCCTCCCTCCATCATTTGCATCATTTCATCAAATGGGGTTTGTTTGTTCTTTCTTTTTTTTTCTCTTTTTCCTTGCTATTTGAAAGAGTTTCTGTACACTACATCTTTATGTTTGTAAGTATATAAAAGTTGAGTGCTTTGTCTGAAACTACTCTGGTGCGTCTTGTTTCTTCCTTTTGGATCTCATATTCCTCGATAATGTCGTGTTTGTTGGGTTTGTAATGAAAAGTATAATGTTTTGTCTGCGAGAACTAATCCAAGTCGGGATTGTTGAAGTTTATTGGGAGTGCGATCATAACACTCTTTCTTGATATATAATTGTAGAAACTTTATATGAAGAGGAACAATGTAATGTGAAGGAAAGTTTGCTTTGACGGTTTATTTTGCTTCACGTACAAAACAAGTCCAAAATGGGAAATAAAAAATGGAATAAAACAAAATGAAGGGGCTATTTTGAAATAAAACAAAGTGGTTGGGGGTAGGGACATAAAATAAAATAAAGTGGCCAATAATAGTTTAAGGCCTCTCATGTATTTACCAATCAACATTCAAACTTTTATTGTTTAGGGATTTTTTAAAATATTGTCTTTGGTTTCCAAAGCTAAGTTAATGCCTCTCTTTGTGGGTTGTCTACTTGTGTACTTAATTCTATTATTTTGGAATCCAATTTATTCTTAAACTTGCTACAATATCTCAAAAAAAATATTTTAAACTTTTAAAACTTTTAATAATATCTTTAAATTTTAAAAAAATAAAAATAATATTTTTATCATTAGTATTTTATTTTAAAATATACTTTTGAACTTTTAATAGTGTTTCAAATATATCTTTACAACTTTAATAATTTTTTATTAATATCTTTCTAACTAAAAAGAAACTCAACTGGTGTAGGATCTCAGGTGAGATTTGTCCTCACCAATCCAACCCAACTTGGGTAGAATTTAAGTTTATTCTGTCACACACGCTGCCCATGTGTGAATGTTCAATCATCTGCGATTCTAGTCGACTTGCCTCTACAATAGTTCAGGTCATCTAGCATGACCTTGCCATTACTTTAGGACAAAGTCTCTCTTAAGCAGCATCGCATCTCATTTCGTCATCATCTTGTCATCTAGTTTCCAACAACTCCGCCCACATATCTTGATGTCATCCCAAGTCTCAGGACGTCATTGACCAACATAGCTTCCTTGAACATGTCTATCTAAAATTGACCCATGTGTTGATCATATAATCGAGGCATCAAAAACATCCATTCATCCAAGTTCTATTAAGGTATAAACCCTCCCTGTTCATGTTGAGTCATTTATGGATTCCGTACAAGATAGCGAGTGCATATACCAACCTTCGACACATGGGCTGGGGTACAATGTCAGTACACCTGAGTCATTCGACACTATCTTTGAAAAACTCATTTAAAAGAAAGATGCCCAAGACTGTCTTGCAACGTTCGCCCACACTGTGACACATGTATGTGCCACATGGTAGCTCGCTTAAGCCATAGGACACAGAGGTGGTGGAGAGCTGACATCATGCCTTCCCCTATAATACATTCAAAGGCATATTCGATTGGGCAGAAATAGACATGATTTTTGCCAACAGTCATTAGGTCTCGTGGAGTGTCCGTTGAGCGTCCGATCAACACCAAATTTTATAAGCATTCATATTTCATATGAACGAACTTAACTCTAGAGTCGCACGCCCAAACTCATTACTCCGACTTTTGAGGTCAAGACTCGAAGCCCTACCTAGGCCTTATCAAGCCTTAGCTTTGACACTCACAACCATATCGTTTTGTTTATGCCTTACTTGATTTCAATGCACATTTTAAATGGTGTGTTGGATGATGTACCGTCCTTTTCGGTTGCATCACGATACTTGTCTTGTCTCGATCCTCGTGTGGCCGATTAGGCACTACTTCCGTGTCACCACCTGATCGGTGCTTTTTAGGGGGCAGGTCGGGCTTGTCATCTGTCATATTATGCCTCTTCTTCATGTATGTCACTTCCAACATAGTGTGACTGTATCCGTCCATGTTTTTCTTCATATTGCATATTAAGGAAAGAAGGTCTAGGATAATAATGTTTTTCTTCATAGTTTATTTCGCTAGAATATTCATTTATTTGTATTAACTTTGGAGGTTGATGGGTTTAAGCTTAGATTTTGTAATTGAAGATTAATTTCATATAAGACACTGCTGGAATCCTTTCCTTGTTAGAGAAATGAATTATTCTTGTAAGACCAAAAGATGTAGCTTGTGTGAGCGATATGGACAACTGCTTGGTTATGAGCTTTTAGGTTGTTTATCCTCCTTGTAATGACCCAAGCTCACCATTAACAGATATTATCCTCTTTGGGCTTTCCCTTTCGATCTTCTTCCCCTCAAGGTTTTAAAATGCGTCTGCTAGGGAGAAGTTTCCACACCCTTATAAAAATCATTTCGTTCTCATCTCCAATCGATGTGAGATCTCATAATCCAGCACCCTTCAGAGCCTAGCGTCCTCACTAGTACTCATTCTCATATCCAATCGATGTGGGATCTCCTAATTCACTCCTTTTCAGGGCCAGCATCCTCGCTGCCACTCGTTTCTTTCTCCAATCAATGCGGGATCTCACAATTCACTTCCCTTCAAGGCCCAGCGTTCTCACTGGTATACTGTCCGGTGTCCACCCCTTCAAAACTCAACATCTTTAAAAGGAAAGCCCAAAGAGAACAATATCTGCTAGCGGAGAGTTTTTGAGCTGTCACACCCTCTCATAACACTTGCCTTTGTTCTCCATTTGTTACCTTTGTTCTCTATTTGTTAGAGGTCGTGTATGTTGGTGGTATCATAATTACTGGAGCTAATAAGGAGCTCAAGTAGAAAACTAATATGCATACTAATTTCAAGTTTAAAGATTCTGGATCCCTGAAGTATTTTCTTGGACTCAAATTAGCTGAGTCATCTAATGGCATCTGTGTCTCACAGTGTCATTATATCTTGCAATTATAAGATGATACAGAACATCTTGCTATGGATTCTTCCCTTATATCAGTTTAATCCTAAGCCTAGAAAATGAACCAAATGTGCACAGTAAGTGACCCATCAAACAAACAACAATATTCAACAGGACCATATATTTCCATTAGAAGCATCGATTATACAAAAATACAGAGCATAATGAGCTGAATAAAAAGGCAGCAGTTGGTCGTGGGAAGGGAGGTTGAGTTTGAATTTGGAAATTGGAAGAGGCATTTTTACAAATAGTTACCAGTCGTAATCTTCAGGCTTGGCAAATGGGTACTTCAAGTATCCATTTTTGATCTGAGATGGCTCTTGGGGCGTCGACCATGGATACTTCATCGATGGATCTCGTGGGAACTTTCTGAAGTTCAGAAATGGCGCCCACAATAGAATGCTGCACAGTTTGTTCAGTCACAGCTTAGAAGAAAGATATGATTATATGGGGAAAAAAAGGATGTAGTTATAAATGGACGTACCCAGGGAAGCAAAGGAAGACGCACATGAATTGAACATACATTTCCAACAAATTTCTTCTATACCATCTTATCCTCAACCAGTTCATGATGATTGGCTGCAAATTTCACCCAGAAAACCAAATCTTATGCAACTTAATTTCACAAGAAACTGAGAGAAAAAGAAACCAAATGTTTAGGGGAAATTCATACTGGAAAGACAAGGAAGTAAAAGAATCCAACAATGCCTAATTGTGTCAAAATCCATGTCAGTGGAACCTCATGGTTGTTGTCCCCTGTTACAGCATTTGCCGGCTCCGCAACCTGCTCCGATTTCATTTTTAATCCAATTTTAAAATTGAGAATGAGAAAAAGCAAAAGGGTAACATTTGAAACTTGCTTACAGTGGCTAAAAGGGCAGCAAATTGAAGAGACAAACTGGTTTTCTTTTGGCGAAGAAAGGCAATGGGGTCTTCTCTGATGCTTGCCACCACCTGAAACTAAACCCAGAAAGAAAATACATGTTAAGAGAGAGAAACAAGAGAGAGAGAGAGAGAGAGAGAAGAAGAGAGAGAAAGAGAGAGGACATTAATGGAGGTTGAGTTGGAGGGCAGTTTGAGGAGCTTAAAGGGGGAGGAGAGAGAAGGCAGGGCCTTGGGGATGTGGAGGCCAAGGGAGAAGTTCATATTCAAAACTGAACTCTGTTCACTCCCAGAACCACAACTCCATCATAATTCATACCCTTTTCTTCTCTCTCTCTCTCTCTTATCTTTCTTTCTCCATGGCCACACCACAAAAGGACACCAGGGTAAATCATTACATTTATAAGGACATATCTGCAAACTACTACTTATACTTGCCATGCCACGTGCCAAACAGCCAATAGATTAAAGATATCATCAATCTGTTCTTCCATTCACATTTTTTATTTTTATTACCATACCAATAAATATATTTGTTCAATTTTCTGACTATGTTCAAATATATATCTTTGCATTTTTTAATATCGAGGTAAATTAGAATAAACTACTTTTTGAGGCCAACTCTTATTAAATTTGGGCTTAAGATGGGCCGATGAATGAGGCCCATTGGATATTCGTAATACCATCATGGGGATGGGATCCTGATGGGCCGGACCTTTGCTTCCTTAAATTGGTATGGTTTAGACGTGTACAAATTTATAATTCTAAGAGTAGAAATCAATTTAGATTTTTAATTTTAAAATTGGTCCATTCATAAATTCTCTCACATCTAACATATAGACATACAATTGAATCCAACAGTTTAAATTAATTCTAACAAGTTTAATTAAAATAATTATAAGTTTGCACGAAATCGTGTGATTGTGTAAATTCTTAGTTTTTGATTGTGAAAATGGATACATTTATCTATAAATTACAATATTGATACAATCACTAGTTTAGAGCTTTTATAGATAAAACTCCAAAATTTAGATCATAAAAAAATATAAATTAATAACAAAAATAATGGTAATAATAGAAAATGATAAATTAATTAAAAAATATCATAATTTGTCTACAAAATATCTAACTTTGAAAAGTTTCAATAAATACCCTTAAACTTTAAAAAAAAAAAAAAAAATCTTAATTTGTAAAAGTTTTCAAATGTTTTATTATTACTTTTAATTTTTTTTAAAAAAAATTCAAAAATACATTTATCATTAGTACTACGTTGAAACATTTATGATATTTTGAAAGTAACATTATATTGACAACAATAAATTTATTATTGGTATTTTTTATTATTAGTAAATATATTTGTGAATTTTTTAAAAAAAGTTGAGTGTATTAATAAAAGAATTTAAAATTTAAATGTATTTTTGAAACAAAATACTAACGGGTTAATTTTTTTAAAACTTTTAAATTTTTTTTATGGATATTATATTAAAACTTTTAAAATTTTTAAGTGTATTTTAAAATAAAAGTGTAAGCTTCCAAATTTTTATTAATTTAACCTGATAAAAAATATTTAAATATAATTGATTATCTCGAAATTATTATTATTATTATTGATGTATAAGTTAAGTGAAGGATAGTAGTCATTATTATCATATTTACGTATATAATAAATATACGATTTATCATATTATAATTAAAAATCAATAATGATTATCTATGTTACTCAACAATTTATTGATGATATAGCTTAATTTACAGCTAAAAATGTAGGTAATAGATAGGGAGAGGAGCATTGAATGTGAGGGTTTTTTTGGAAGTACACAACCTAAATTTTATGCTTCTCTTATTCTTCTTTCCATCTTTATGCTAAATTCCAATTAAATTTTGTGTGACACACACCGTTACTAAAATCGCATTAATTATATGCTCCAAACATTAATTCAACTTTATTACATTCATTGAATAAATCACATTTTCTTTGCATGACCTAAGAATTATTCTTAGGATACTCCTCCCCTTTAATTTATAACTCCTTTTTTAATTCAATAAATGAGAGGAATTTTAGGAATAATTGACATTAGTTTTTAGACCCACAATTATTTAACTTACAAAATTTATAAAATTAAAAATAATTACACTTTCAAAATATGTTCTCGATCCACAGGATTTTACCCATGTATAGTAAATGAATATATGGATAATGATATAAAATATGAAATTTTAAAATAAACTTTTTAAAATTTAATTAAAAAAAAAAAAAAAAGAGAAGATTTTGAGTTTTGTGGATTTATATGCTTATATTTGGTCCATTAAATTTTGGATAAACAAACCCCACTCTACTTTTGCAAAATTTCAAGGAAAGTGAAAGGAATTTTATTGGAAATACATTGTATTTAAAATTGGCAATATTTTTATTTATTGGGTATGGAAGGACCATTTATCTTATAAATTAAATGGAAATTGGCCTAATTTTCCACAAGTGTTAACGCGTTTATATTTTGAAGTCCGAGAATAGACAATTAAACGATGTCGTTTAAAATGAAAATTTTAGAATTTAGTTGGTATGCATTTTAAATGTTGAGATTGATAAAAATAGTATTAATACAAATTATAAAAATTTTATTAAATAAAAAAATTACTTTTTTTTTTAGCGGAAACTCTAACTTAATTCAAATAATAGAAATCAAAATTTTAATATTTTAAGAAAAGAAAGAGAAAAATTGATGGTAACATCCAAACACTACACTTTTGAGTTTTTATGATTAAATCTAAAAAAATAAAGGTATACCTTGTTGGTATCATATTCTCAAGATCACTCTTAGTTAGATGTGGTTTCGATTTATTCACGTGCTCATATTTTATTGAAACATCATATATTTTGAATGACTCGTAGCTTGAGTCTTTCATATATTTATTTTATTTAATTGAATGACCTATTTAAATTGATGTTTATCAAATGTGTGCATGCTTTTAGAAATTTTAAATTACTTAGTATTTTTAAAATTCCATGTTAGTTAGTGACCGTTAGCTCGAATCTCTTGAAAAATAGGTCGTTATAGAATTTCATCTCATATGATTATGTTTCCAACTCTCTATTTGGTCAAGTCTCCAAAATACTAGGTAACAACCCTAAATTTTTAGTTACTCAGAGTCATTATTAACCTCTCATGCTCTGCTAAAATATGGAATCTAACTCTTAAAAGAAAACATCATCAGTAATATAAATGTTGAAAACATTTATAACATCTTCTATCTCTTGAAAACACAGCCATGATCTTACGTCTTTAAATACGAAAAACTGATATTTAGAGAAAATAAAAATAAATACAAAATAATTTAAATCGATGAACTGCAAAATAACTTATTCTAATATAAGACTAGGAATTTAAATATGAGTCTACCTTATACACGTGTCACAGTCTTTGCTCGCGATGTCGTTGTCGTCCATATATGTGCGCCTTATCTTTACCTGAAAAATGATGTGACACACAACCTGAGTATTTCGAAGAATACTTAGTAAGTGACCCCATTATAGGAGCCATATGAATGCAAACATATGCAATCATGCTCTTGGGACCTATGTCTATCTCATCTATGGGTGGCCTCCAGTCTCGAACTATTATGGATGTGTAGTACTTCCCTACACAAAACTCACACATGTGAGTGAATCCCCAGGGACTCGCACACCCCCTAGACCCTCTCTAGTCAAGCTACTCTGTAGCAACTTCCGTAGGTCAGTAGAACCCCTGGTGTCATGCTCCCCTTGAACACCCTTATCATTATATTGTGCGTGTCCGCACTCATCATCTCTAGGGGAAGCATCCCTATGCTTATGAACATACAAAATGGATGAGATCCCTCTAATTCCCATCTTAACATCTCTTCTGACACAACTCTCTAGTCTTATCTCTTTGTTACACTAAGTAACACATGCTCATTGGATATTTATATTAATATCATTTTTATACTCTTAAGGGTTGTGTCCTATGTCGGTCTATCGACATGATGCAATATGATATGAACCACGGCCAAGGAATTTTCATACCTCAAGGTTCAATTACAAGGACGGACGAGAGCCAAGAAGTTACAACAAACCTTGTACACTTATATTCAAACTATGGTGAGCTCATCAAAGGAAATTCTAGAAGACGTTGGAGACCTCCATTATATATTGTAAAATTGAGCTTTAAGAAAGAGATGCATTAGATGCACTTTAACTTGCATCTAAGGAACTCAACTAAAATTTATGGAAGTAGTCCAAATATGACAAATAAGCCCATTTCATTCATTGCACTGTTTAATTATAATTTAAATATTTGTTTGTTTTTAATATAGAAGTTAAGGTATTGTAACCTTCTTAGGTTACCATATTCCACCATCAACTCGCCATTTTAATAGGGAGGTTATAGGTATTTCTCATTTACTGTCAAATTTAATTTGGAAGTTATGTGTCCTAAAGTTAAGGTTGTAAAAGCTATATGAAGCTTATTTTCTTTGATAGGGACATCACATTTTTGAATTAAGAAGAATAGAATTTCTATTTTTTTTAGCTTTGTTGAGAGCTAAGATCTTCTTTGCAGATTCTTGTGTTTAGAACTTGCATGCTAGAGTCATTCAAGTGGTAGTGATCAAACTTCTTGTGGAGTGATTCGAATCACGAGTTTAGAAACGATTTTCTTTACTCTTGATCTTGATCATCAAGGTAATCCGTTTCATACTTTTCCTTGGGTTGATTCCATATCATTTGGTATCAGAGCTTTAGGCTCAAGATCGGATATATGTTTCCTTGAGTTTATCTCTTTTGATACTCATCTATATATATATATATTTTCAGTTTGTGTAGTGTGCTCACATCTCATCTAAAAATTATATAGCAAAAAAAAAAAAAAAAAAAAACATTATTTGTGTGCTTTAGTTCATCTGTATCTTATCAACACTTTGTTTTTCGTAAAGATTTTCTAAATCAATTTTCTTGTTGGTAAATTAAAATGTTTAGATTTTGCACGAAAGAATTAAAAAAAAAAGCTTATTGATGTTAAATGTATTCTTTTATCCTCTTGATTATTATATGTAACTCTCATATGTTACTACGTCTAAATTAGTCCTTAATCATTTTCTTTCTTTAATTCGTTTCTTTGTCAATATTCGGATTGCTCCTTTAATACCCTTGTTTATGTGTTGAGTGTGCTGTCTATTCACTTTGAATTGCACTTAGCTCTATAACATAGCTTGTCTCACATCCCAATTTTTTTGGAGTGTGATTGGTGTGTACTCAATTATGAGGGTGAGTTTGTAAGGGAGTGATACATTGATTCGGAGTGTTGAGTGCTAAACACTGAGTGAACTACATTTACTTACAAGTGAACACACGTGAGGGAGCGCTTGTGAGGTCC